TTATCACCTGAGGTCTCCATCATGGAGAGACGCACCACGCTTATCACCTGAGGTCTCCATCATGGAGGGATGCACCACGGTTATCACCTGAGGTCTCCATCATGGAGGGACGCACCACGGTTATCACCTGAGGTCTCCATCATGGAGAGATGCACCACGCTTATCACCTGAGGTCTCTTATCATGGAGAAAGACACCACGCTTATCACCTGAGGCCTCCATCATGGAAAGACGCACGGCTTATCACCTGAGGTCTCCATTATGGAGAGACGCACCACGCTTATCACCTGAGGTCTCCATCATGGAGAGACGCACCACGCTTATCACCTGAGGCCTCCATCATGGAGAGACGCACCACACTTATCCATCACCTGAGGTCTCCATCATTGAGGGACGCACCACACTTATCACCTGAGGCCTCCATCATGGAGAGACGCACAGCTTATCACCTGAGGCTCTCCATCATGGAGAGAGACACTGCGCTTACCACCTGGAAGATGACTGCAAACAGATTCTTCCCCAGACTGATCTGTTGATTTAGTGCAGTCCCAAGCAAAATCCCAGCACAGTCATAGACCAGTTCTAAAATTTATGTGGAAGGGCAAATTAATTGAAATAGCTACAAAGATTTTGAAAAAAAGAGGAATCTCACACTTTTGAGACTTAGTATGAAACTGTAGAAATCAACAGTGTGCGGCATTGAAGAAGCAGATACACAGCTCCATGGAACAGAGTCCAGAGATAGCCCCACACAAATGGGGCCCTCAGTTTTGGCAAAGAGCAAAAGAAATTGAAGGGAGAAAGGATAGTCCGTTCAACAAATGCTGCTGGGAAAATCACCAAATGCTGACTAACCCTCATGCCTCATGCAAGTGTCTAAAACTGTTTTAAAGCTTTTGGAAGAAGCCATAGGAAATCCTCACGACCTGGCATTAGGGAAAGAGTTCTTGGATTGATAGCAAAGCTACAATCCACTGATGAAAAAGAACCAACGCATCGCACTTCATCAAAATTTAGAACTTTTGCTTCAAGAAAGACACTTTGAAGAGGACAAACTCCAGGATGGGAAAGAAAGTATTTGCAAATTGCGTATCCCCCAAAGGACTGGCACCCAGAATACACAAGGAACTCACACAACTCATCAGCAGGAAAACAAAACAGTCCCGTTAACTGTCGGCAGAATAAACGAGCAGACAGTTCACCGAAGAGGGTGTAAGGATGGCAGATGAGGCGATTCTGGATTGTGTGTCTTTAGCAGTTAGAGAAACGCATGCTGAAGCCGTGGGCAGACAGTGTCCACCTGCTCACATGCATGTCAGGACGCCGGTGCTGTCCAGGATGTGGCCGCCTGGGACTCTGTTCTGCTGGCAGGGACACGGATGAACAGATGAATACGCTGTGTCCGTCTCTGCAGGGGCTGTGTCTGGGCAGTGAGAAGCCGTGGACTCCTGACACGCCCACTGCGTGGCTGTGTCCCAGTGGCTTTGAGTGAGAGGGGCCCAGCTCAGGAGGATACGCACAGCACAACTCCTTCCTGCGGCCCATTCCCTAGGAGCCGTCCTGGCATGCCGGGGGCAGAGTAGCACAGCTGTGAGGGGCCACGGGAGCCACTGTGTGTCCTGATTGTGGTTGTAAATACGTGCACACTTGGATACAATTTCATTCATAGAACCATATACGAGAAATAGCTAAGTGATAAGAAGTAAAATGAAAAGGAAACAGTAGAGTTCCATCTTGCAGAACAGATGGGACAATCCACAGTGTCCCTGTTGCTGCTTTCTATGGGCTTTAGATTACGGAAGTGTTTTCTGTCTCTAACCTCCACTGTGTGTGACCAATCTTCACACCTGTGGTCAGATGTCAGCGTGCCGTGTCAGCGTCCCTGGAGCCAGTGTCTGACTCTTGCAGAGTGCTGGGCTGTCCTGACTGGGTCCCCTCCCCAGAAACACGAGCCTCAACCTGGCCCTTGGAGGCCCAGGCCTCCCCTGTACCATCTGGGAACCCCAGGACAGTGGAAACACGTGCATCCTCCGCATAGTTTTCGAGGAGCTGATGCTGAAAGAACTGTTGTCTCTGCATTCTCAGAGGGTCTGACAGCTCAGTGGCGATGCCTAATGTGAGGCCTGCAGCGGGCAGGTGGGTGCAGAGGTCCCATAGAGCCGTCCTGTGGGGAGGATGGCACCTGAGAGGCAGATGTGGGTGCTGCGTCCCCGTCCTCGTGGCCTGTCCATTTTGGGGCTGCACTTTCCCTTTGGGTGGCCTGACTCAGCCCCGCATGGAGCTCCTGTGGCCTGACTCAGCCCTGCGTGGAGCCCGTGTGGAGCTCCTGTGGCCTGACTCAGCCCTGCGTGGAGCCCGGGTGGAGCTCCTGGTTTAGTTCTGGAGGTGGGTGTGGGAGGGGCTTGTCCTGGGCCCTGGTGGTGTGGGGAGGTGGCCTGGCCACCATTTTTCTTGCAGAGGGCGGGGTCCCAGCATGCAGGGCTTGCAGTGTCATCCTCTAGCCTCTTGGTAAACTGGTGACTCCCCCTTGGACCTGCAGTGCACAGGCTGAGGGGCTTTTTGGACACAGCAAAGGGGTGCCCAGAGACACCGGAGGTCCCATGTCCAGGTAGAAGGATGGCTTCTCTCGCCACACCCCCAGTGGCCCCGTCTTGGACCTCGGGGCGTCTCCCCAGGTGCTGGGTGGGCTCTGGAATCCAGGGCACAATGCTTGGTGCCAGCTGAGAGAAGAGCAGCCTCTGGAGTGGAGCCTGGGTCCATCCTTCTCTATGCTGCCCCATCTGGGGCCATTCCAGGCAGAACCGTGGCTGGATGAAGGGGGGTGGGAGCGGTTTGTGTGGAGCCTGGCACCGCAAGGCTCCTTGTCGGTCTGGTTGGGCATGGAGGCGATGCTGGTTGTGGCCACACTGTGGCGGTGGTGTTTGCTCAGTGGCCAGTACTGCTCCGTGCCATGTGGCCCCTTCCTGACTGTGGTGAGCTGGGAGCTGGCTCTCCGGGAGGAAACCCCACCCGTAGTGTTGGCGTGTCTCAGGTGTCAACAGTCCCACCACAGCGTTCACTGCCTGTGGGTCGGGCTGTGGCATCGCCCCAGGGCACCCTGGTTCAGGCCTGCGGTGCAGCTGCTGCGGGCATGGCCTTGGAGGACTGAGGCCTAGCGCCTTGGGGGTGTTGGTGGACTCCAGGTGGGTGCCCAGAGTCTTGGTGTTATGCTCGGGAAGGAGGGGTGTTAGGGGCTGGGGGTCACCTTATATTGACATGAGCTAGAACATAGCCTTGTCATGGCTGGACCCAGCAGTAAGAGGCAAACCCAGGGTCTCCAATGTCCTTGGGATGCTGCAGCCTGCTTGGGGGCCGCCAGTCTCACATGAGGACCAGCTGCCCTGCGTACTGGGGCAAGAGACCTCGGAGTGGGCCCTGTCCCAGCCAGGCTGCTGACTGCAGGTGCCCACAGAGGCCACTGCACTCCCCTGGATCCCCCGGAGAGAGGCTTGGCCTCTAGCAGTGAGAAGGGTGCTCCCAGAGAGTGGAGCCTGGCTGACAAGTCACAACACAGCCTCCCGGGAGGAGAAGGAGCCTCTCTGCTTTTAAAATACAACAGAAAAACAGCACACGTTTGTTTAAGTGAATACAACTGAAGCCACTTAGAAGCAGAGGAAATGAAGATGACCCCTTCATATGATCACACGTGTGTTCAGCCATGTGGCTGGCAGGGTCCCCAGCATGATCCTGGCTTAGTTCTTCAATGGCACAAGCTGATCCGTCCGTGGAGTGCAGGGCGGTTCCCATAGGCGTCAGGGGAGTGTGTCGGCCTGGGGAGGAGACACCTGGGTCTGCCACGTCTCTGCTGCTGGCACCACCTCTGCCTGCAGATGACCTGGACGGGTGGGACCCAGTGGCCGGGTGGGTGCGCAGCAGGCACACCCCTGACTGTGTCTCTGTCCCCACAGACAGTACTACTGGTATGATGAGCGGGGGAAGAAGGTCAAGTGCACGGCCCCTCAGTACGTCGATTTCGTCATGAGCTCCGTGCAGAAGCTGGTGACGGACGAGGACGTGTTCCCCACAAAATACGGTTGGTCCCCCTCCAGCACTGGGTGGTCATTCCCACAGGGTGGACAGCGGGCATTCAGGACGTGGCTGCAAGCGACCAAGGCTCTGCTGCGAGGGGCAGAGGCATGGAGGGTGGTGGCTGCGCCGCCCCAGCCCCTGCTTAGCACGGGGCCACTTGGGCTGCGGGGCGAGGCTGGAGCCCTTGGGCAGGGGTCAGCCCAGCCAGGGCCGAAGGCCGTCTCCCTGGCCGTCTGGGCCATACAGCTAAACATGGTCCCTGTTAGTCTCTGCCTCTCACACTGCTGTCACTGTCTAGCTTGTGGGGGCTTGGGCCGGGGAGCAGCTGCTGAGCCCGTGTCCAGATTTTGGTGGGGCTCCACGGCACTCCTGTGTTGCCAGAGGGACGGCAGGGGACAATGGGCCTGTGCCACCATCGCCCTTCCGTCCCAGCCCGGGAGAGGGCTCCAAGTGTCTGTCAGGGAGACATGGGGTCCCGAGTGCCCAGTCACAGGCCCCTCCCTGAGGAGGAGGGCCAGGACGGCCCAGTGAGCGCCCAGCCCTCGGGGCAGCTGTAGCTGTGGAGGCTGAGCCCGCAGGGAGGCCTCAGCAGCCCGGCCTTGGGACTGGCAAGGCACTGTGGTGCTGCCAGTGGGCAGAAGCTGTTGCTGCTGGGGCTTTGCAGCCTGGAGCTTGGCAGGGTCAGGTTGGGGCAGCAGGCACCAGACCCACCAGGCCAGGTGCCAGGGGCCCGGCCTCTCTCGGGGCCAAGGGACGTCTGCAGCTTCTAACGCTGCGGTCTCCCCCAGGCAGAGAATTCCCCAGCTCTTTTGAGTCCCTGGTGAGGAAGATCTGCAGACACCTTTTCCACGTGTTGGCACATATCTACTGGGCCCACTTCAAGGAGACGCTGGCCCTGGAGCTGCACGGACACTTGAACACGCTGTATGTCCACTTCATCCTCTTCGCCCGGGAGTTCAACCTGCTGGACCCCAAAGAGACCGCTGTCATGGACGACCTCACCGAGGTGCTGTGCAGTGGGGCCGGTGGGGTCCACAGTGGGGGCAGCGGGGACGGGGCCGGCAGCGGGGGCCCAGGAGCACAGAACCACGTGAAGGAGAGATGAGCCCCGCGGGCCGGACAGGGGCGCACGTGTGCAAAGAGACGGTGGTGTGTGTGCTCTCCGTGCACCTGCGCGTGCACACATGCTGGGCACGCGTGCGGCGAGTCTGAGAGGGCCCCGGCTGCACTGGCGTGGGCTGCACAGACGCAGATGGCCCGGCCATGTCCTGCGGCCCCTGTCGGATGGATGCGTGCCGTTTGTAGAGAAGAGCCTTTGGGCCCATTTGCTCGTTCCGCAGACACGTGGGACTGATGCTTTGAGTTTCTTCTGTGGGGTTTTCCTTTCTCTGGTCTCCGTGCAGCCCCTGCCCTCCCCGGGGTGCTGGTGGCCTCAAAGGAGGAACTCTTGGGGGGGGCGCCTCCCCCAGGAGGGCGTGATTTGCAGACTTGGGTCTCTGCTCTGCTTTGGGGGTGGGGCTTGCTTTCACAGAGACCCCTCCTCCCTGCTCGCCCCTTCCTTTCCCGGCCTTGCCAGGGACTTGGCTGTTGGCAGCTCAGAGGTGGGTAAGGCCTGGGGTGCGGGGTGCCCTGCACCTGCTCCTGCTCCTGTTGCCCCTTCCTGCTGCCTCCTCTGTGCCCAAGGAGCACCCATGGTGCAGTCCTCAGGCAGGGCCAGGACGGGGCTGAGGCCCTGCGTGGAGATGCTGCACTAGCAGAAGGCCGAGACCCGCTTACCTTAGTTCATCTGTTCACTCTTAATAAAAAGAATTCTCTCAGGTCAGAGCCTGTGTGCTTCCAGCGTCTCGGTGACCCCCCTCCCACCACACTGTGGGCAGTCCCAGGAGCAGGCACCCGGGAGGCTGCCCTGAGAGTTGGGGTCAGAGGAGAGTCGCCCCTCACTCCCTGTGGGGGTCCACAGCCAGCCTGCCGGTGCCGTGGGGGAAGCACACACACTGTGTCTCTTGCTCTCCCCAGCTGCCTCAGCCGCCTGCCTCTCCCCATGCTGGTGGTGGGGACCCTCCAATGTGGCTGGAGTCAGCTGGGGACATCTTCTC